CTAGGTCTTATCCAACCATTTTTCAACAACTCGTCGAGTTGGGTTCGCAGTTCATCCAATTCCTGGGGCGACATACGATAGATAGGCCCCTTCGGGGGCGCGCTCCCTGGAACGATATCAATGCGGTGGCGGATTGGTCTTTCCACCACACCGCTCGGGGCTTCTGCCACATCTGCGAACTCCTTCAGGATTCTCTCAATTTCCTGAGACCTGACTTCTTCTTTAGTTTCTCCTTCCTTTACTGGGCGCACATATGCAACAAGACTTGGTCGTACAAATTATACTTCTTCACATGACGGGCGAACGCGGGGGCACTCATACAATAATGAGTCATGCTGCTTTCCTTACCAGATTCATGAAAGAGGCGGATTTTCTTCTTACCTCCTTGCGGACTTGGACGCCAACATTCATGTTCCCTTAACTTTAGATCCGCATGCGCAGCTTCACCCCAATCCATGCCTAATAACACATCAAAGGGCAAGTTATCCTCCACCAAGAAGGTCAGAGAGTGGAGAACGCGTTCCACCTTCCCCTCTGCCTCTAGCCGAAAGTATACTTGTACCCCTTCGACGTAGCGATCCATAACGGTTTCACTACTATTTGCTAATGTACTTACAATGGGCTCACTTAACTTCCTAACCTTAAGCCCAAGACAGTTTTTGTAACCCTCTTTTACTAATATAACTGCTTGTAGACCCACTGTCTATCATACCTTCTACTCTTACTTGGTTTATTTCAAGATCTGCAATTATTAGTTGTCCTTTCTTTTTTCGCATTTCAGTCCAGGCTTGGCGACGAGCGGCCAACTCATCACCCATGCCAGCAAGGGATCCATCTAGAGAGATGCATACGTTTGCCACCTCTGGACAGTGTACTAGATGGGGACTTCCTTCCTCTTCAGTTTCTGCTAGTGGAGCCTTCGAATGGGAGGATTCTGGTTTTTCAACATTCGAAGCTCCGGTAGAGGCAACTGACACCTCTACTGGTTGTTCCCTTTTGCCCCCCT